TATAATACTCACAGTAAATTAAAAAAGAAAAGCAATTTACACGCCACAAATACAATTGAAACTTTTGATATAAGAAACTGCTTAATGGCATAAAAATGATTAAGGCATTAAATCTGTTAAATTTTATAAAATTTTTATACATCATATTACCAAATCATAACAGAATAAAATAAGATAGATATGTTGTTTCAAAAAAATTAGAAAACTGACGTTAGGACTGAAAATCATATGACATTTGAGTACAGTAAAATTGACAGAACAATTGAAACGAGTGGCAGAGAAGTTAGTTAAACGTAGTAAAGTGTCAAAACTGCTTGAAATTTATCATTCTGCAAAAATCAACTGAGGCAAAAGCCAAAATATTAAATGTGAAAAAAGATACGAATAAGTTAACCAACAGAATAATATTACTAAAGCAAAAATGATTTCAAGAACCTTATTCTTGTAAAAGATGTCAAGCGTAGAAGGAATAACGCGTAGTATTTTTCGATTTATGCTATTTATTCATTTGACTGTTTTCTTTTCGACTTTCTTCTATCTTATTACAAGTAATTTTATCGCTAAGGCAATAACAACTTAAGCTAGATAGATCAGATTGTTAGATACAGATAGGTTTGTCGATAGTTTATCAAATCACGGTAGAGTAATAACATATCTCTTGTTAAACAAAATAAACTTATCAAGTTACATTTAATTCTTTTGTCAATATTACCGCAGGTTACTTTGTATTACCTACTCGCAAATGACAGTTTGACATTTTATTTTTTTTACCTGTTTTAATTTTGCAATTTTTTAATAATATTTGAGAAAGCTGAACTCAAATGCACGTACTGGTGAAGACAGTTACAACAAATTAGATTTATTGTTCATTATAGTTTGGAAAAGAATCGGGTTGTTTGAGCTTGAGTTTCGATATGACTGTATTTTGGCCTTAAAAAACTATCAAGCCTTTTATTATACACTAAGATACATAAAATATAGGTGAAAAATAATGCAAGAAGAAAGAACAAGTAAAAAAGTATGAAAACATTCATTTTCCCAGTTAACAGTGCAAAATAATTCAAAATAGCTGCAACATAACAACTATTATTTACAAGAAAAAACTTCTTCTAAGTTATAGAAGACTCTAATATCACCTTGTTCTTATCGTTTTGTTGTCTATCTTACAAATTAAGGTTAAGCAGTTTGTCTGTACTTGTTTCTAACTGAAAACAGTTTGCACATCTACTACATTATATTATTTACTGCAAACATCTTTTCAAAAGCACAGTTTACGAATAATATCTAGAATTTTTAAGCAGTAAATTTTTTGCATTCTACTGCATAATCACCGCAACACTAAATACGGAAGACCAGTGGTTTTAGCTGCTTCTCAAAAGAGTTTGCTACAAAAAAAAAAAAAAAACACGAAACATCTGACGTAAACAGACCGAAATCGGCGTCAAAAGAAGTGATTTTTTACAAAAAAATCTGATTCAACTCGTCTTTATCTCTGTAATCTTTGCAGTAACGTAATTGAGTGCTGTATTCTGTGTAACTTTTTAACAAACAGACGATATTTTTCTGCTTTCAACAGTAGAAAGAAACGGCACAAATAATTTATTATGATTAGGCTTACGCTTAGGCTGAGGTTTAGGCTTAGTAATGAGTAAGAGTAGAGATTTTATGTACTCCTATAGCATTAGATATAGAAATTTATGGTAAAGAACCACATGCTTTAAACAGAATGAGACTTAGACATAGGCTTAAGCCTAGGCATGGATTAAGGGTAGCTAGGATTAGTGTTTAGAGGAATATGGGTGTTGTGGATATTATAGATTTACATTAAATGAGTAAAGTGTAGGAAGTTGATTTATTTTAA